TTCTTATACTGCAGCTTTATTTTTTATTTTTCTCTGATGTAATGCATTGAAGCCGGCTCCAAAAAAAATTTGGGATAAGGTTTTGTAAATAAAATTCATGCTTTTATCACTTCTCTTGCCATTCTTACAACAAATTGTCTAATTTTTTTTCATTTTTAATTTGGTTGAAGATGAATTCATTTGAAGAGATTTTGCAAGCGATCTTCGTGTTGATGATATTGAAGCACTGGATGACGAAGATGATCTTATACAGGTGTTGCTTTTGAATGATGAAGACGAGGGTGAGTATAAGCGATCTTAGTGTTGATGATATTGAAGCACTGGATGACGAAGATGATCTTATAGAGGCGTTGCTTTTGAATGATGAAGACGAGGATGAGTACATGTGAAACGAGATGATTACAAGTGTTATTAATCAATCAAATGTTATGAAGCAAGTACCTCGTCCATGTTGAACTAGGTCATTCTCTAGTCATATGCTTGTAGAAGATATGTTGGTTGGACATCCTGATCGTTCATATTCTTGCTTCCGAATGAGTTCTGAGGCAATTCTTTTGCTAAAAATATTCTACTTGAGAAGAATGCTTTAAGGCCAATTAGATATTTAAGCTGTAATGAACAACTATGTATATTTTTATACGAAATTTCGCATGCCCTCTCAAATCGAGTAATTTAGCTGAGATATTTCAACATCCATGAGAGACTATTAGCAGATATTTTAATAATGTGTTTAATGTTATATTATCTTTGAAACAAGATTATATCCAACTTCCCACGGCTGACGTAGATATTCATCCTAAGATTCGAGAGAATCCCAATTTCTTCACATACTTCAAGATAGAGCTCTCAACATATCTTTTATGAAATCTTTTTAAATGTGTATGTGTGTAGGTATCTATACATTAGAACTTTATATTTCTTTTATTTTTACAGAGAGCTTTGGGAGCAATTGATGGATCTCATATTCCTGTAATTGTGAAGGAAAAGAAATACAGTAGGTATCGTAATCGAAAGACTTTCATATCTCAAAATGTAATGGCAGCATGCTCCTTTGATCGTACTTTTCTTTATGTTGCTGCTGGATGGGAGGGATCAACATCTGATATGTCAGTACTTTGTGCAACACTAGAAGATGGTAAATTTAATGTTCCTGAAGGTAAATTTTAATATTTTTCTTTTTGGTTTATTTAGAATTAATTAGTACTAAAGTTAGATAATTTTAAATATGTAGGTCGCTTTTACTTAGTTGACTCGGGATATGCTAATACTTCAAAATTTTTTGCCCCATATCATGGATCACGTTATCATCTTAGAGATTTTGCAAATGGGACCACTAGAGCCTATCGAGATACTAAAGACAAATATAATCATAGACATGCACAACTACGTAATGCAGTGGAAAAAGCATGGGGAATTTTAAAGCAAAGATTCAAAATTTTTAAAGTTGTTGCTCCATTTACTTATAAAACTCAAGTCAAAATCGTTGTAGCTTGTTGTGTTCTTCATAATTTTATTATAAGGCATCAAGGATATGATAAATACTTTAATATGCTTAATGGCTTAGAGATGAATGAGGATGAAGATGAGGAGGAAGAAGAACAAGACCCCTAATACATGGTTGGTGCAGATGAAAGTTTAAGGGGTGAGCAGCTTCGCAACAGGATTGCTTTACAGCTATGGAATAATTGATATCTGTAGTTGTCGAATATTAAAGTATAAGGACATTGAATCATGTCTTTTATTATCTTTATATGAACAGAAAATTTAATTTAAAATAGAGCTATTGAGTAGATTGTTTTTTTCTTGAATAATCAAATCTTTTTTGTTAGGTTTATTGATAGATAATAAGCCATATAATATTTTGTTAGCTGATTATCTCACTTTAGCTTTTGAAATGACGTGAAAATGATAATTTATTTTTATTTACCTTCAGAACAGTCATTTATTGAATAATACCAAATTGTAATACTTTTATAATCATCTTTACATAATTTCAAGCTCCTTTTATTTTAATGAGGCAATTATTTATAAATTATCAGTAAGGGAAAAAGTGGTATTTTTTAAAAAATGATGAGATTAATCTCCTTAGCCCTTCTTCATTTGCCAAACACAAAAGACTTAACACATTGTCTTAACTATCGAATCCAAAAGAATTTAGAATATTTTAACCCTTCACGATGGATTAACTAAGTTAACCATTATCCTTACTCCTTCTCTCTTAACCCCTTACCAAACGCAGCCTGAGGGTTTGGGATTGAGATAGTTAAGGGGATTGTCCACAACACTGTAAAATATTCAAGGAATTTTCTGAAATTAACTCAAAAGCTCCTTTAGATTGTTAGAATAGTTTTATACAAAGGAACAAGTAACCAAATAAGACAAACCGC